TTTTATGGGCCTGGTGGGAACAGGCACTGTTGACTATGGCGAAGTTGGACACGTGTGTGATAAAACGCAACAAATGTGATGAAATATGTGTCCGCTCTGCATAAGCGGAGTGGACATGGACCTGAGATCAGCAGAGAGATCCCCTGCTAAGTAAGCGGATCGCTGCCGCAGTCCGCCCCTGTGTGAAAGGCGCCTTGGTTTTCATTCTTCCAGCTCCATAACTGAAGGTCTGTACCTCTCTATGGACTTAGGGCTGGAGGAATAGCCTGCAGGAACCTGCACATTGCAATGATAACCCACTGATCAGGGTTGCAACGCTTTGATGCCTCCTATGCAAAAATAAATACATAAATAATGTGCGTTTATACTTTTTTTTTTTTTTTTTAAAGTGGAACATGACTTTAAACCAATCACAGCAGATCACATGATAGTTGTACGCAATGGATGGTGTTCATTCATGCCATCCATTGTGTACTATTGTGTTGATCTCTGTGATTGATCACAGTGATTGCATGGTACAGACAGGGCCAATCACAACTAACCACAATAGTAAACACTGAATTAATCAATATCATTCAGTAAAAATGGTTGCCTGTAAAAGTGAAAATCACTGGTATAAGCAATCATAGTGTGTAAAAAAAAAAATCCTGATCACTTCCCCAGAGTAGTACAGTGTTACTATGGTAACATTATTGCTCTGGTCACAGTATTTAACCGCTTCCATACCGGGCACTTTCACCCCCTTCCTGCCCAGGCCATTTTTCAGTTTTCAGCGCTCTCACACTTTGAATGGCAATTGCGCGGTCATACAACATTGTACCTAAAATGTTATCATTTTCTTCACACAACTAGAGCTTTCTTTTGGTGGTATTTAATCACTGCCGGGGTTTTTTATTTTTTTGCTAAATTAACAAAAAAAAAACGAAAATTTAAAAAAAAAAACGTTTTTTCTTTGTTTCTGTTATAAAAGTTTGCAAATAAATAATTGTTCTTCATAAATTTAGGCCGAGAAAGTTATAGAGTTCACAAACTATGGTATAGATCTGAATATTGATCAATCCTGAAGTACTGACAGCCAATCTAATTTCTTGAAGTCCAAGAATGTCAGAATAGTACAGATATCCCCCAAATGTCAGGACAGCACAGATATCCCCCAAATGTCAGAACAGTACAGATATCCCCCCAAATGTCAGGACAGTACAGATATCCCCCAAATGTCAGAACAGTACAGATATCCCCCCAAATGTCAGAACAGTACAGATATCCCCCCAAATGTCAGAACAGTACAGATATCCCCCCAAATGTCAGGACAGTACAGATATCCCCCAAATGTCAGGACAGGACAGATATCCCCCCAAATGTCAGGACAGTACAGATATTCCCCAAATGTCAGGACGGTACAGATATCCCCCAAATGTCAGAACAGTACAGATATCCCCCAAATGTCAGGACAGGACAGATATCCCCCAAATGTCAGGACAGTACAGATATCCCCCCCAAATGTCAGGACAGTACAGATATCCTCCAAATGTCAGGACAGGACAGATATCCCCCAAATGTCAGAACAGTACAGATATCCCCCAAATGTCAGGACAGTACAGATATCCCCCAAATGTCAGGACGGTACAGATATCCCCCCCAAATTTCAGGACAGTACAGATATCCCCCAAATGTCAGGACAGGACAGATATCCCCCAAATGTCAGAACAGTACAGATATCCCCCAAATGTCAGGACGGTACAGATATCCCCCAAATGTTAGGACAGTACAGATATCCCCCAAATGTCAGGACGGTACAGATATCCCCCAAATGTTAGGACGGTACAGATATCCCCCAAATGTCAGGACGGTACAGATATCCCCCAAATGTCAGGACAGGACAGATATCCCCCAAATGTCAGGACAGTACAGATATCCCCTCAAGAAATGAGATTGTCCGTCAGTACGTCAGGATTGATCGATCGTTCAGATATATACTATAGCTTGTGGACTTTCCAACAGACTAAATAATAACAACCGATTTGGGTTATTTTCACCAAAGAAACGTAGCAGAATACATTTTGATCTAAATTTATGAAGAAAGATTATTTATTTGCTAAATTTGTTTTTTTTACAGAAACAGAAAAGAAAAAAAGTTTTTTTCCCAAACTTTTTGGTCTTCCTTTGTTTATTTATCAAAAAATAAAAACCCCAGCGGTGATTAAATGCCACCAAAAGAAAGCTCTATTTTTGTGAAAAAAAATAAAAAATTTAGTTTGGGTACAGTGTTGCATGATGACCGCGCAATTGTCATTCAAAGCGTGACAGCGCTGAAAGCTGAAAATTGGACTGGGCGGGAAGGGGGTGAAAGTGTCCGGTGTTGAAGTGGTTAATTAGGAACCTTCCAGTTGAGGGTCGGGTCCCTGCATATGGCTGAAGCTATCAGCCATAACCCTGGTATCCTTTTTTTCAGCCAGCGGCTGACTGTTTAACCACTTCCCGTCCGGCCCATGTATATAAACGACGGTGGCAGTGCAGGGTCGGGTGGCTGTTTATAAATGTCCTCCCACTTCCCTGCTTGTGCGCGCTCCCTGTGAGTGCACGGCACTGCGATCCGGTGCGCGCTGTGTCCTCCGGACACAGTGGAACACTGATCGTCGGACAGGAACTCTGTGTGAGCTCCCAATCATGTGATCACTGATTGGGCAATCAGTGATCACATGAATCACTTGAATAGTAGTAAGCAAGATGTCACTTCTGACATCATTGCTTTCTACGTGTGAAATCTGCAAATGATCACAGAGATCACATGGTACAGGGCTATTCACAACAGCCTTGTACCATGTGACAAGCTGTGACCAATCACAGCTCACACAGAGAAGGAGAAATTATTGCTTTTACAGCCTTTATGGGTGTAAAAGCAATCAGTGTAAAAAAAAAAGAAATCTTCATCACCCCCCACAAGTAGTACAGTGTCACTATGGTGACTGTACTGCTAGGGTGTCGGGTATGTAAAAAAAAAAAACCATAAATAATATATAAAAAAAATAAATAAAAATGTAAAAAAAATTTGGAAAAATTATAATTTTTGGTTATAAACTAATTTGGAGTATTATTATTTTTTACGAAAAAGATAACTGAATACATTTTGGCCAAGATTTATGAAGAAAGTGTATTTGCAAAATTTTATAAGAAAAACACTTTCTTTCAAAATTTTTGGACTTTTTCATTTATATAGCAAAAAAAAAAAAAAAATCCCAGCGGTGAATAAATACCACCAAAATTAGGTTTTATCTGTCTCAAAAAACTGCTAAAAAATTCATATGGGTACAGTGTTGCATGACTGCGCAATAGTCATTCAAAGTGTGATAGTGCTGAAAGCTGAAAATTGGCCTGGACAGGAAGGGGGGGGTCAAGTGTCTGGACTGGAAGGGGGGAAAGTGTCCGGACTGGAAGGGGGGGAAAGTGTCCGGACTGGAAGGGGGGAAAAGTGTCCGGACTGGAAGGGGGTGAAAGTGTCCGGACTGGAAGGGGGTGAAAGTGTCCGGACTGGAAGGGGGTGAACTGAAAGTGGTCCGGACTGGAAGGGGGGGAAAGTGTCCGGACTGGAAGGGGGGTGAAAAAGTGTCCGGACTGGAAGGGGGGGGGAAAGTGTCCGGACTGGAAGAGGGTGAAAGTGTCCGGACTGGAAGAGGGTGAAAGTGTCCGGACTGGAAGGGGGGGGGAAAGTGTCCGGACTGGAAGGGGGGGGAAAGTGTCCGGACTGGAAGTGGTTAATGAAAGTAGTCTGAGTGGCTCATTAGCCACAGGATCACTTTCAGTAGTGGCGGTAGGACACCCCCCCCCTCTCCTCCTGCCGCTCGCCGGTGTATGGCCTTGGAGGACTGGAGCAACGTGATGACGTCACTCTCGGTCTAGGATGGATGTAAACAGTTTCTTTTTTTTTTTTTTTAAGCAAAAAGGAAGAGATTTGGGGTCTTGACCCCAGATCTCTCCAAAAAGAGGTAAAAAGTGATAAAAAAAAATGGGGACAGTGATAAAAAGGGACAGTGTAAAATTTAAAAAATCAAATAAATAAGAAAATAAACATTAAAGCGCCCCCATCCTGCCATGCTTGCGAGAGTGAGAGCAATAATTCTAGCGCTGGACCTCCTCTGTAATTCTAAACAGGTAACCTGTAAAAATGTTTAAAGCATCGCCTATGGGGATTTTTAAAGAAGAAATCCAGGGCAAATTTTTTATTTTCCCATGCCGCACCGCATGGGTTAAATGCTCATTTTTGTCTAGGGTCTCAAAAAATGAAGATATACTTACCTAATCCACCGATCCTCCAAGCGCAATACTGGTCCCCCGCCGCTCCTGTGAATGGGCTGATCCTGATCTCATCATATCCATAGAACAGCTGTGTGTGTGAGGACAGCAGGAACAGTCCATCGCTGTGAGCGGGGAGCGTGGTTTTGCGGTGGATCGGAGGAGTGGGTGAGAATAGCTTTACCCTGAGCCCCTAGTCATAATGAGCACTTAACCCATGCAGTGCAGGAACAGCCCCATTGCATGTCACAATCATTTTTTTAACCAGAGTTCTGCTTTAAGCAGCGTAGTTTGTCGCCATTCCATGAGCGTGCGCAATTTTTAAGCGTGACATGTTAGGTATCTATTTACTCGGCTTAACATGATTTTTTTTTAAAAAAAAGGGGTATATATTGTGTTTTTTTTTTTTTTTTATTCATTAACCAGTTGCCCACCGTCCTATAGCAGAAATACTGCTACAGGGTGGCAGGGCTGCGCAAACACATGTGTATATACGTGAGCTGCATTTACGGATAGGGGGCGCACACGCACCACCCTGCCTGCACCGCCATTGGTGGCTATGGATGTCAATCACCGGTTGCTTGCCAGAGATACTCTGCCAGCACCCAGCAATCGCCGAGTAACACTGACAGGGGAGAGGTCTGTGTGTAAAGAACACAGGTCTCTTCCCTGCCAGCAAGGACATGCTGCTGTGTATCTCTCTGCACAGCTTGTCTCCCTAGTGCAGGGGTGTCAAAATGGCGGCACCCTCCAGCTGTTGCGAAACTACAAGTCCCATCATGCCTCTGCCTTTGGGAGTCATGCTTGTGACTGTCAATCTTGCAATGCCTCATGGGACTTTTTTTTGGCACCAGCTGGAGGGCCGCCAGTTTGACACTCGTGCCCTAGTAAAACACACACAGCACACAGTTAACCCTTTGATCACCTCAGATGTTAACCCCTTCCTGCCCAGAGCCATTAGTACAGTGTCAGTGCTTTTTATTAGCGCTGATCACTGTATTGGTGTCACTGGGGGCTGTCAGTGGCAGTTAGTCAGTTCCCCCCCCCCAGTGTCAGAATGCTCGCCGCAGTCCCGCTATAAGTCATTGATCGCCGCCATTACTAGTAGAGAAAAATATAAAAATAAAAATGGCAGTATATATACCGCCATTATTAGAGGCTATAATTTTCATGTAAACCAATTAATTTACATGTATTGGGATTTTTTTTCTAGTAAAGACATGTAGCAGAACATAATTGATGAAGAAATGTGACTTTTTAATTTTTTTTCTACTGGATATGTTTTATAGCAAAAAGTTGAAAAATATTGTATTTTTTTTTCCAAATTAAAATCGCAAAAATTTAAAAAAAAGCGCAGGCAATCAAATACCACCGAAAGAAAGCTCTATTTGTGGTAAAAAAAAAGGACATAAATTTCATTGGGGTGCACAATTGTCAGTTAAAAGAACACAGCACCGTATCGCAAAAAACAGCCAGGTCAGGAAGGGGGGGGGGGGGGGGGGGGGGGGGGAATCCTCTGGAGGGCAAGTGGCTAAAGTGGATTTTTTACTTCCCCCCAAAAAAATTGCTTTTGAAATACCGCTGTGCAAACACCATGTGACATAAAAAAATGGCAATGATCGCCAGTTCATTCTCCAGGGTCTTTGCTAATATACAGTTGCAAGAAAAAGTATGTGAACCCCTTGGGATTACGTGGAGTTTTTGCATGAATTGGGCATAAAATGTGCTCTGAACGTCATCTAAGTCACAACAATAGAAGAACACAGTCTGCTGAACATAATACTACACAAACATTAGATATTGCCATGGTTTAATTGCACATAACATGTAAACATTCACAGTGCAGGGAGGAAAAAGTATGTGAGGCTCTAGCTTAATGACTTCTCCCAGAGCTAATTGGAGCCAGGAGTGAGCCAACCTTGACTCCAATCAGTGTGATGATATTGGATGTGTTGCTGACAGCTGTCCTGCCCTTAAAAAACACACACCTGTTTTGGGTTTACTGGTTTCAAGAAGCACTGTCTGATGTGAACCATGCCTCGCAGAAAAGAGCTCTCAGAAGACCTACGATCAAGAATTATTGACTTGCATGAAGCTGGAAAGGGTTACAAAAGTATCTCCAAAAGCCTTGATGTTCATGTGTCCACGGTAAGACAGACTGTCTACAAATGGAGAAAGTTTAGCACTGTTGCTACTCTCCCTAGGCGAGGTCGTCCTGTAAAAATGACTGCAAGAGCACAGCGCAGAATGCTACATGAGGTAAAGAAGAATCCCAGAGTGTCAGCTAAAGACCTACAGAAATCTCTGGCACATGCTAACATTTTTGTTGACACATCTACAAAAGGAAAACATTAAACAAGAATGGAGTACATGGGAGGACACCACGGAGGAAGCCATTGCTGTCCAAAAAGAATATTGCAGCACGTTTGAAGTTTGCAAAAGAGCACCTGGATGTTCCACAGCACTACTGGCAAAATATACTGTGGACAGATGAAACCAAGATTGAGTTGTTTGGGAAGAACACACAACACTATGTGTGGAGAAAAAAAAGGCACCGCACACCAACATCAAAACCTCATCCCCCCTGTGAAACATGGCGGAGGGAGCATCATGGTTTGGGGCTGCTTTGCTGCCTCAGGGCCAGGACGGATTGTTGTCATTGATGGGAAAATGAATTCCAGAGTTTATCAAGACATTTTGCAGGAAAACGTACGACCATCTGTCCGCCAACTGAAGCTCCGCAGAGGATGGGTGATGCAACAGGACAATGACCCAAAGCATACAAGTAAATTCAACAAAACAATGACTGCAACAGCACAGAATACGCCTTCTGGAGTGGCCCAGTCAGAGTCCTGACCTCAACCCCATTGAAATGCTGCAGCATGACCTTAAGAGAGCGATTCACACCAGACATCCCAAGAATATTGCTACACTGAAACAGTTTTGTGAAGAGGAGTGGTCCAAAATGACTCCAGATCGTTGTGCAGGTCTGATCTGCAACTACAGGAAACGTTTGGTTGAGGTTATTGCAGCCAAAGGAGGGTCAACCAGTTATTAAGTCCAAAGGTTCACATACTTTTTCCTCCCTGCACTGTGAATGTTTACATGTTATGTGCAATTAAACAATGGCAACATCTAATGTTTGTGTAGTATTATGTTCAGCAGACTGTGTTCTTCTATTGCTGTGACTTAGATGACGTTCAGAGCACATTTTATGCCCAATTCATGCAAAACTCCACGTAATCCCAAGGGGTTCACATACTTTTTCTTGCAACTGTATATATATATATATATATATACACACACACTATATGAAAATAAAATATTATATATAAATATATATATATATATATATATATATATATATATATATATACACACACTATATGAAAATAATATATATATATATATATATATATATATATAGATAGATAGATAGATATATAGATATATATATATACACACACTATATGAAAATAAAATATTATATATATATACACACTATATGAAAATAAAATATTATATATATATACACACACTATATGAAAATAATATATATATATATTTTTTTTTTTATTATTATTTATATATGTTTGAGGGTTATAAGTAATTTTCTAGCAAAAAATACTGATTTAAAATTTGTAAACAGAAAGTGCCAGAAAATGCTAGGTCTTCAAGTGGCTAGAGAAAGGAACCTGTGGGATTGGATGCAAATGGATTCATTGTTTAGACACGGCTGATAAATCCAAGGGTTGGTTCACACTATAGAAACGCGATCTGGATGCGTTTTTGATGCGTTATGGTTCATTTTTTCCCCTCTCTTTTTCTTCATTTTAAATAGGGACATGTGCGTTCCGGTGCGTTTTTGATGCGTTTTTACCGTGTCCCAGTACAGTTCTGTGCAGGAATCATGCGGCCTGTTCTACTTTTTTTTTTTCTGCAACCGGAACGCACTGGAACTGCAAGCGCTGATGTGAACTATGCCATTGACAGCCACAGCTACTTTCTGTGCGTTTTGGATGCAGGAAAAAAGCAACTGAAACGCATGGAGTGTGAACCGGCCCTAAAATGGATTGTACAATCAGATTGTAACAAGTCAGCCCAGTTTTGTACCGGGACGTGAAATTGTTATCCCTTGACGTCACATGGAGTTTTTCTCCCAACACGGTGTAAAGACCCAGAAACACAGCACAGGTGACGTGCTGCTACCTGAGCTTCGTCCTGACCACACCCCGACTAATCCTTCACAGGCCACAAGAAAGAGAAAAAAGATTTCCTGATCAATAGGCAGCATCCCCAGAATTGGAAGATAAATAAAGGGAAAAGGACCCCCTATAGCACGGGTGTCAAACTGGCGGCCTTCCAGCTGTTGCCAAACTAAAAGTCCCATGAGGCATTGCAAGAGTGACAGTTACAAACAGTGACTCCCAAAGGCAGAGGCATGATGGGACTTGTAGTTTTGCAACAGCTGGAGGGCCGCCAGTTTGACACCCCTGACCTATAGGATTTGGGACTTTGAAGGCATAGATATATACCGAAAGAATTATAAAAAGTACAAACTTTTTATTGTGTCAAAAAATGATTTGAACATGTAGACATACCACACAATACATCATCCAAAGTCACAGTACAGCATCGCCATCAGAGTATTAATTGTATGATAAGGATACCCAGCATGACTATGCTTGACTAGCCATTTAAAAATGTTGAGAGCCATTGGCTCTCACTGCTGTCAATCACAGCCAGTGAGCCAATGAGGAGAGAGAGGGACAGGGCCGAGCCACGACTCTCTGTGTGAATGGACACACAGTACAGTGGCTCGGGAGTGCACCTGCCTGGTTGCCCACATTGCAAGCTGCTTGCTCTGGGGGCACTCAGCAGGAGGGAAGGGGTCAGGAGCGCCTGTGAAGGACAAGACAGCAGCAGGGCAGAGAATTGTGCCTTGGAACCAACATCCAGCCAATTGTGGAGCCCCTCTAACAAGTTTGTCTCTCAGTCTAGTTGGTGAGTTTATAATTGGTGGTTTGTGTCTCTTGGTCTCCCTGGTGAGTTAACAGTTGGTGGTTTGTCTGTCTCGGAATCTCTAGCGAGTAGACAGCGGTTTGTCAATATTAGTCTCTGTGGTGAATGGAAGGTTGGTGGTTTGTATCTCCTGGTCTCCTTAGTGAGTGGACAGTGAGTGGTTTGCGGCTCTTGACCTTCCTGGTGAATGGTGGTTTGTCTATGTCGGTCTCCCTAGTTAGTGGAAGGTAGGTGTTTTCTTTCTCTTGTTCTTGCTGGTGCGTAGATGGTTTGCGAGTTGTCTCTTGGTCACCCTGGTGAGTAGACCATTGGCGGTTTGTTTCTCTTGGTCTCCCTGGTGAGTAGACCATTGGTGGTTTGTTTCTCTTGGTCTCCCTGGTGAGTAGACCGTTGGCGGTTTGTTTCTCTTGGTCTCCCTGGTGAGTAGACCGTTGGCGGTTTGTCTCTCTTGGTCTCCCTATTAAATGGAGGGGTTAGGGGTCTGCCTCTCTTGGTTTCTATGGTGAGTGGAGAGTGGGTGGTTTGTTTCTGTTGGTCATCCTGATAGGTGTTTTTTTTTTTTTTGCTCTTGTACTTGCTGGTGAGTAAATGGTTGGTGGTTTGTCTCACTAGGTCTCCCTGGTGAGTAGACCGTTGGCAGTTTGTCTCTCTTTGTCTCCCTCTTAAATGGAGGGGTTAGGGGTCTGCCTCTCTTGGTCACTATGGTGAGTGGACAGTGGGTGGTTTCTTTCTGTTGCTCATCCTAATAGGTGTTTTTTTACTTTTTGCTCTTGTACTTGCTGGTGAGTAGATGGTTGGTGGTTTGTCTCTCTTGGTCTCCCTGGTCAGTAGACATTTGGCAGTTTATCTCTCTTGGTCTCTCTGTGTTAAATGGATAGTTTGGGGTTTGCCTATTTTGGTCTGTATGGTGAATGGACATTGGGTGGTTCCTATTGGTCATCCTGGGGAGTAGATATTTAGCGTTTTATTATTCTCTCAGTCTCCATGGTGAGTACACAGTTGGCAGTTTGTGTTTCTTGGTCTCCATTTTAAATGGACAGTTGGCAATTTGCCTCTCCCGGTCACTATGGGGAGTAAAACAGTCGGCAGTTTGTGTCTTATGGTCTCCTAGTGATTAGACAGTTGATGGTTTGTCTCCCTGGTGAAGTGGATGGTTAGCAGTTTGTCTTTCTCGATCTCCCTGGTGGGTGGATATTGCCGCTTTGTCTCTCTCGTGTCTCCATGTATCACAGTGAATATTCACATACTCCCTTGTACAAGGCTGTGGTCTGATCTTCTTCTTCCTCTCATGTATAATCGATGAGTCCTCCACTATCCGGTTTCTGTGACATTCCAGACGGGCTGATTGTCCTGTTTTTTGAACATGGATTACTTTTAAATGCCATTCAGCCTTGTCCGCAGGTTACTGACAGTGCCGTACCTAAGGAAAGGGACAGTAATTAAAGAAAGTTTGTTTTTATTGATTAGGTACTGGTTTACAGATCTTGTTTCTTTGCATAGTTTGGCCTTCTGTGTGTAAATGCGGCAGCCATATTTGTTTGAAAAATATCCCCTCTGTCAGTGCTAGCTTTTGGGTCAGGACTGACTGACTGAACACGAAACAATGTCAAGGACTAACTAAATTTATCAACGGTCATCCAGCCAAGGTGATGACTGACACTCACATAGCCATTATGGAAAAAATCGGAACAGTTGACATAAAAACACGTGGAAAACAAGTAAAAAAATTAAATGTTATGCTACATTAGATATCTCTCTATACATAATCTCTAGTCGCCCTTCAACCTGCTACTCGTGTGTTTAGGCAAAAAGACCCAAAGGGAGCAAAAGCAAAACTACAAAAATACAAATAAAACAAATATTGTCCATATCCAACAAGAAGCTCAGAGAAATGCCAACTTTATTCCCTTAACCATGAATGATTTCACGAATTATATTTATTGAGAAAACTCCTTTTTGTAGTTTTGTTTTTAAAAGGAAATTTTGTGTCAATTTTTTGCAGTATACCTTTGTGGTTTTTATCTGTCCATCTTGTGAGGGATACAAAAGAGTAGGGAGGACCTCAGCTGGGATCAGATCCTAGTCTGATCCCACCTGAGCAAGCCTCTGGGACACGGTCATCTGTAAAGTGCCAATCATAGGCAGCTGAGGCATTCCCTGGAACGTGTGCACATCCATTGTCCGACTGCAGATGATTGGCCCAGTACAGTTGACAGCACCTTGGTGGGCTCGTTCAGGTGGGTTCAGACTAGGATCTGAACATGTCAGAGCTCATCCCTAGTAAAAGGTTGAGGCTTTTATACCTGTAAATGGGAGGACAACTCCATATTAACAGCCATGGTTTTGGAATGGGATTTCTGAGAAGCTCATGTAAACATAATGATCAGGTGTCCACAAATGTTTGGCCACATAGTGTATTATGCCTCACAAGTGATGCTAATGCTGATTGATTACAGATAAAGCCTTGTGCTTTTCTACATGGTAGAGCAGCAATTCTCAACCAGGGTTCATTCAGATGTTGCTAGGGTTCCTTCAGCTGTGGTTGAATGACCTGCACAGTGCATGTTGGCTGCATTGATCTGGGGCCAACAGCACTTGGCAGAACCAGCATGACACCAATGATCTTTTAGCTGTCAGGGAGCATTCTTTCCACTGTCCACCAATGTAGAGGCATCCTCTTCACTGACCACCAATGTAAGGAGCATTATTTCCACTGGCCACCAATGTAAGGAGCATGTTTCCCACTGGCCACCAATATAAGGAGAATTCTTTCTCCTGACCCCAAAGTAGGGAGCTTTCTTCCCACTCTCCACCAATGTAAGGAGCATTCTTCCCCACTGGCCACCAATATAAGGAGTATTATTCCCACTGGCCACCAATATAAGGAGCATTCTACTGATTCCAACATAGGGGGCTTGCTTCCCACTCTCCACCAATGTAAGGGGCATTGTTTTCACTGAGCAATAATGTAAGGGGCATTCTTCCCACTAACCACCAATGTAAGGAATGTTCTTCCCCCTGGCCACAAATGGAAATAGCATTCTTCCCACTGACCACCAATGTAAGGAGCATTCTTCCCACTGGCCACCAATGTAAGGAACATTCTTCCCACTGGCCACCAATGTAAGGAGCATTCTTCCCACTGACCCCCAATATAAGGAGCATTCTTCCCACTGACCACCAATGTAAGGAGCATTCTTCCCACTGACCACCAATGTAAGGAGCATTCTTCCCACTGACCACCAATGTAAGGAGCATTCTTCCCACTGACCCCCAATGTAAGGGACATTCTTCCAACTGGCCACCAATGTAAGGAGCATTCTTCCCACTGGCCACCAATGTAAGGGGCATTTTCCCTACTGGCCACCAATCTAAGGGGCATTTTCCCTACTGGTCTCCAATTAATTGGTTTTAACAGGGCTTCCCTGAGACCTAAACATTATTTTAAGGGTTGCTCTAAGCTAAAAAGGTTGAGAAAGGCTGTAATAGAGTGCTGAAATGGGAGACAAAGTGGAGCTATAATAAGCTCTACCATTCTCTTTTATCTGGCACATTAAATCAATAAAGTAATTCTACTGTTGCTCAGGCTAACAGGACCAATAATGGGCATGGCGGACCTCCATCACCTGCTCCCTACACTTTCATTGAGGCAAAGAGGCACACCATATGCCTGTGATAGGAACTGAATCCAGGTTTACAGCACTGCCAACCACTAAGACCTCTTCAGCCCTGCTGGCTTGTGGGAATTTAGTAAAAAATGTTTTGGATGTCCCCAAGGGAGAAGTTTGTCTTCATTTCCAGTCCAGATGGCAGTGGTCACTGATGACAATACAACCAGAAAGAGAGATTCAAAGAATTGCCAGCATCATTTAAAACTAGCAAAAAAATATATTTTGTTTGGAGTACCACTTTAAATCTTTTTATATGCCACTGTAGATCTGATTTGTATAAATGTACAGATGATATTATAACATAGTGCCACTTGGCTGGCTCCTATTTGCATGACTAGCTATGAAGCTAGATACAAATACGTAGAAGCAAAATATATTCTCTTTCTTAGCACCACAGTAACCATATGTGGTCTGACAATGTTTGGCCAAAGTTAAACCAATCAGAAACCAATTTCACAAAGAAAAAAACTGGCTTATGTGGTAATAGACTGATGTGTATTGAGAAGCCAATCAGCAGAAATAGGGATGGTCAGTGACAGAATTGCCTGAGGTCATCTGTTTTGCCTTCCAGGCCTCTCGCCCCCACCTACCATAAAGCTGCAGGTGGAACAGATAAAGAGTGCATGAAGTGAATGTAGCAACGACAGTTCTTCTGTCCACCTTTATGTCCACCATGTGCTTCCTGGAAAAGAGGACAGCAATGGCGGTGTTGTGCAGGGGCAGAGGTTAGTGCACTCAGACTACTGAGATGAGGTGACCATAAAAAGGGTCCTTCTAGATCAGCGTTTCTCAACCTTTTTCCA